AGAGGTTTGGAATAGAAAGCCATGAATTTCTAATTCCCTCAAACTTTCCCTGAAAGAGTTCAGCCTTTTCATCTCAAGCAAAAATGAAATTTTAGTTGTGTCTTAAGTCCTAATTGCCACCAAACAAAATCTTTGGTGCTGTAAACTGCATTTCATAAGTTTGGATTGTCATTGTCTGACATTATAATTATTGTTGGAGATTTTAAAAGCATTAACAATTTAAATGTAGAGTATTTTTATTCATTTTTATATTTTATGCTCTCTCAATCTCATTTCTTTGCTTCTTCTATTTTGCTTGATGTGATGATTTGCCATTGGATACCCTTCTCTAACATAAGTTTCCAGGTCTATGGTCTCAGTATTGGGTGGTCGTTATTCGCAAAATTTCAGAGTGGAAAAGTCCTAGGGCTGAATTTTCATGATAACCAACAAAGAATCAATTTTGGGGCATTTCATGGGGGGTTTCTCTCCGTGAGCTCTAGTGTGTTATTTCACACACTTCTCTGCTGCTCACCTCATGATGTCTGCATGACACCATCTGTGGTACCACTTGAACACTTCCTTGTGCTCAACGGCAGTTAAAGTATTCACCATGCTGGGACCTTCCAAGATTTGTCCCAGCTGCACTATGTTTAAAGCTCAATTGCACATCTGGTACATCAGGTCCTTGCTGTAAGCCAGGAACTGTCATGTGGAAGAATGACCCTGGAGAAGCATACAGAGGCAGGTTTTCACCTTGATTCACTGCCAATGTGCTGGTGAGGTCCTTGTGGACAGAATGATGGAGAGCCATTCTCTTGCCTTGGGACCACCAGAAGCGATCATGGCAATAGATGCTGCCAGCCTGGTCCAAAATTTCTATCCAGGTCAGTGCTGTGCCCACAGCCTAAAGGAATGCCCAGCAGTGCTACAAGAAGCTCAATTGCATTCTGCTCTCCACCATATCCACCATCTTCTCTCAGCTACTTCACGCTTGCTCTAACTCTGTTACTGCACACTCCTCTCACCAAGGTTCATGCTGTACCACTCTCGCTATTGAATACAGTATCTTTTCTCAATCTCTCTCATCCAACTCTCTCCCCCATCAAGCCCAGCCACCACCACACACCCCCCCATACTTTCTGTCTAGCTCTATCCATCTGAGAAAGGCTATTACTTGCAATGATCCACATGTTTCAGCTGGATTGTTGGAATCTCCTTCCTCTCTAATGTAGGAGCTCCAATGTCTGGCTCTCTTCCACAAAGGTGGGCCTCGCAAGATCTTGATCAGCTGGGGAAGTGGGCCGAGAAATGGCAAATGAAGTCTGAAATAGATAAGTGTGAGGTGTTACTTTTTGGAAAGTCAAATCAAGGTAGGGGTTTCATGGTGAATGCTAGGGCATTAAGGAGAGTAGTGGAACAAGGGGACCTTGGAGTTCAGGTATATGGTTCTCTGAAAGTGGAGTCACAGGTAATAGGGCAGTGAAGAAGGCTTTTGGCACTCTGGTCTTCATCAGTCAGAGTTGCAATTCTACAGGACATCGGTGTGGTCACGCTGGAGTTTTGTGTTCAGTTTTGATCATCTTGCCAAAGGAAGGATGTTATTAAACTGAAAAGAGTGCAGAAGAAGTTTACAAGGATGTTGACAGGACTCAAGGGACTGAGTCGTAGGGAGAGGTTGGACAAGCTCAGGCTTTTTTCTTCAGAGCATAAGAGACTGAGGGGGTTTTTATAGAAGTGTATGAGATCATGAGAGGCATGGATAGGGTGAATGCACTCTGTTTTTTTCCCAGGGTTGGGGAATCGAGGACTAGAGGAGACCACTTTAAGGTAAGAGGGGAAAGAATATATGGGAACCTGAAGGGCGACTTTTAACACAGAAGGTGGTACGCATAAGGAATGAGCTGCCAGTGGATATTGTTGAGGCGGGTACGTTAACAACAACTAAAAAGCATTTGGATGAATACATGGATTGGAAAGGTTTAGAAGGATATGGGCCAAGTGCAGAAATGGGCTTAGTTGGATGGACATTTTGTTCGGCATGGACCAGTTTGGGCCAAAGGGCCTGTCTCTGTGCTATAGGACTCTATGACTCTATGACTTTATGACTTTATGACAGGTCAGGGCAGATCTTCTTGGGTTGCCATGCAGTCTTCCACCACAAGTCTTGCTGTGAGTCTTCACTGAGTGGGTGGCTTCCAGCTGTGTGTTTTTATTCTCCTCGTCCCGGACCTTCCAGAATGTTCTGTGGCCTTTGGCCAATGGGGTCATGTGTCGGATTCAAAATATCCAATGGGGCGACTCCAAAGCCCTTCACTGTTGCCATGCCAGGGAGGTGTAAAGTGTACTTCCTCCAGTACTGGCTGGAAGTCAAGATGCCAGAAAGTCTGAATGATTGTTCTCCAATGCCCAACACTCAGGCTGTTTTAACTGGTTCCCCTTTAATATTTGTAACCTCTTCGATCTTAGTTTCCATTGTTTTCTGTGGCCAATAGCTGCTGGCTGCAGGTTAATTTAGGTTAATTTGCTGTCAAGCCCAATTTCCAATTTTGACTCATGAGGACCTCTGACTAGAAGGGCAAACAAGACACCTCTACATTGATCTTGTACATCATTGTCCGGATTCAAATGAATGCTGCTCAAGCCTTTTAGCACATATACAGTCGGAGAGTGTACGTGTGTCAGTAGTAATGCGAACCTGACCCCACTCCTCACACATTTCCTTAGAAATGCAGCACCTCATACATAATAATGATTATGGACATTTTCTTGTCCATGAATGCATGAGGTCCACATACAGAATTCTGTAATAACAGGTGTCTTTAACCTGTACTGTGTGACTCTCCATTTAATACCATTGTCCTGAGGGCCTCACATCGTACAAAGGTAAATCCTGCTCCCTCAGAGAAAAAAAAATGATTTGCACTGTCTACTCTGGTTGTGGTGACAGCCATTTTCCATTTCCATTGCACATTTGGGATGAGGATGAAAGACGGCACAGGTCACACTACACAATGAGTCGAAGACTCAGACTGGTAATCCAGGTGGTCCTCCATGTCAATTGCATCAGATTTGATCTTCCCCATATACCCACCCAACTCTTTATTTAACTGCTCATCTCCCCAGGCATATATCTTCGTCATTCTAAATATTCTAAATGCACTATTTCCCCATCAAAGCCAGGGAGGTGATAAACGTCACTGAACTCCCCTCCTGCAGTACCCCTTACCCTGCTCCATCATCTCCCACTCTTTTATGTTGAGTTTCCCCACCTTCACAGTTATTATTCCCTCTGCATCCCAGCATGCTGCCTTCAGTTCTCATAATTGAATGCTCCAGCATCACCAATACAGCACTGGACCCTGGTTACCCCCTTCAACTGTCAGTGAACAGAGCCCTTGGACTGACATGAACAAACCCCCAGACAGGCTTGGAACGCTAACTCCGATTATTGAATAACCAGACCCTTGACTTGTAAATATATGTTCCTGTTTTATCATTAGCTCTCTGAATGACTTGTCGCAAATCCTTGGAGGGTTACACTGGACCTGCAAGACTGATTGTGGACCATACCCCAGACTAGTGATCTGAACCCCCGATACACGCCCCAGTGGTTGACTGATTGTGTCCAAGCCCCTGAACTGATAGCGGATAATGCCCTTGACTTACTGTGCTGGTAACCCCTGAGTGGACACAGTCCACCTTGGCATGACTAAGGACTACTGGACTTTGAGACATGACCATTTGATTGAAGCATATGCAATGTTTTGAATGAAGCAGTAAAATGAAAAATAGCACAGCAAGACAAAGTACAGATGTTGTGAACATTCAAGTCGATTGAGTGAGGACTAAGAGAGATAGCGATGGACCCTGAGATTCCCCGAGCTCCTGTCTATGTGATGTGTGCCTGACCCTGCTTGCAAAGTGATCTGACAGCAGCATTTCAAAGCGAGGTGTCAGTGCGCTCCAAAGTGTAGTATTGAAGTGGAGATTTGTCATGATGATGCGCTGAGGCTGGTGTAGATCCGATGCCAACCCCTCTGGATGAAGGATGCAGATAGTCGCTGCCCGCAGAGTGTGCCCTGAGATGTTGGGGACTGCTGTCCAAGGTGGAAGCCCAGAGAAGCAAGCAGTGGAGCCACCAGGTACCCACTCTGGCTTTCATGTTGGAAATTGTCACTATCTGGTTTCTCTCCACTGTGTGGGAAAATAGCAGACTGCATATAAATGAGGCAAGAATAGATAACGAGTTGTTTATGCATGCACATAAGCTCCTCCCTGCTCACAAGCAAGATCATCATTTCTCCATTCAAGCCTTGATGGAAATTTGTATCTTTTCTTAATGTCCGGAATCTCATTTTTCTGATCTTGTAATATTTTCCCAAATGACTTGCCATTACCCATGTTGTTCAGGGGCTGGGAAAATTCCATTGTCAAGTTTTGTTGCATGTGGTGTGGGTGGGGATTGGGGAGTGGGAGGTTTGGAAGGTGTGTTGTTAGGGGAAAGCACTTTTGTCCCTGACTGACCAGCAGTGCTGCTAAGACATTTAACTTTGTGATGCTCCTTGATGCCCTTTGTCACACCTCTGTTAATATGACAGTGGGTGGGGTAGTAGACAAGTTTCATATTTATCATATTTTAACATCTGACCTGACATGAAATTCACTGCTATGTGTCTCAGTTAAAATGCACCCCATATGTCTTAGTTAGAATTTACCCCTGTTTACCTCAGTTAGAATTTACCCCCGTGTGTCTCAGTTAGAATTTACCCCCGTGTGTCTCAGTGAAGATCATTCAGTCTGGTTGGGGAAATATACTGTGGTTTCCCTTGTTCGCCCAGGTCCTCAGTACCCCTCAGGCCTGTCAACAGCTATATGTGTAATAAATCGTTAGTTCATACGTTCACTGTAACTCCAAAATCCATACCAATGTATGTTCATAAAACAAATCGGCATTCCGATGATGTTTGCTTGTTAGTATGTCAATAATTGGTCATTCTAGTTTAATATTTCTTTAACAGTTGTAAACCAGGATGGTCAACCACTCATTGAAGGCAAGCTCAAAGAAAAACAAGTGAGATGGAAATCTATAAAGAGATGGAAGACACGTTATTTCACACTGGCTGGGAATCAGCTTCTATTTTGCAAAGGAAAATCAGTAGGTAGATGTTTAAAATTTGTTAGATGAAGTCAATAGAGCTAAGTATCATAGCTAGTTCCACATGATTTGTATTTTTCTCAATGTGAGTGACATTCTGTGAGTGCTGGAAATCTGAAATAACAGCTGGAAGTGCTCATCATGTCAGACAGCATCTATGGAGAAATATGCTGAGTTAACAATTCAGATCACTAATCACAAGAATTCACAAACAGAAGATTTAGGTGTATAGAATTAAGTCAGTATAATGTAAATATGTAAAAGTAATAACAAAAAATTATTTAAAGCAAATGAGACACAGGTACAGAAAAGAAAATAAGATCAAGGAACAAATAAAAGGACTAAACTGAACAAGAAAGGAGAATAATTGTAACGTTTACCTAAAATATAAAGCACAAGGCACTTGTGGCAAAATCTGTGGGGTTTGGATGAAGAAATGAAGAGCCATAAAAACTGAAAGAACTGTGGATGCTGTAAATCAAAAACAGAAGTTGCTGGAAAAGCTCAGCAGGTCTGGCAGCATCTGTGAAGAAAAAATCAGAGTTAACGTTTCGGGTCTGAAACAATTTGGGTCACACCGGACCCAAAACGTTAACTCTGACTTTTTCTTCACAAACGAAGAGCCATACTTGATCTATACTTCTTTCGCCTAGATTTGATAACTGCCTGAGCAATGTAAGGATTTAATAGGGGCAAAATGTTAAATTTGCATGTTATGGATGCAAACAGTGTGGGAAATTTTACCGAACACTTTTACATCCCTCAAAATATGACAAGAAAATTACTATAGTTTGAGAAATGAGGTATTAAGTATTAAAACAGATAAACTGAAGCACTGGAATTATTTGAATTTTTTTTCTTTATTCTTTCACAGGAAATGGGTTTCACTGATCAGGCTGGGATTTGTTGCCCATTATAATTTGCCCTTAACCTGAGTGCCTTGTTAGGCCATTTCAGAGGTCAATTAAGAGTCAAGCACATTGTTGTGGGTCTGGAGTCACATGTTGGCCAAACCAAATAAGGGCAGCTGATTTCCTTCCCTAAAGGACATTCATGAACTAGATGGAGTTTTACAATAATTGATTATAGTTTTCATGACTAACTTTTACATAAAGATTTATTAAATAAGTTCAAATTCCACCAGCTGCTGTAATAGGATTTGAACAGGAGATCCCAGACCATTAATCTGAGCCTCTCTGTTACTACCCCAGTGGCATTATCAGTGTGCAAGGATCTCCGCATGACTCAGAGACAATTGTTTTTATGCATCTTTATGCGATATGAGTGTCAGTGACAAGCCACTGCCCTTCCTTAATTGCCCTGGAAAAGGTGGTAGTGAGCCACAGTCTTGAACTTATGCAGTACAGCCACTGTTAGAAAGGGAATTCCAGGCATCTGTCCCGACAACAGTGAAGGCCTGATGGTGTACGTCCAAATCAGGATAGTGTGTTACTTAGAGGGGTGGGGTTTCATACACTTGCTGCTCTTTTCCTTCTAGGTGTTAAAACTGTGGATTTAGAAGGGCTGTCTTGTTAAGTTACTGTAGTGTATTATGTAAATTATGCATATTGCTAAAACTGTGTGCTGGTGGAAGAAATGAATACACATGGTTGTGAATGACATGCTAGTCAAGGGGCCTGCTTAGTCCTAGATGGTGTTGAGCTTCTGGATTGTTGTTGGAACTGTTTTCATCCAAGAAGGTAGAGAGTATTCCATCACACTCCTGATATATACCTTATAGATGGTAGACCTGCTTTGGGATATCAGGAAGTAAATTATTTATCCCAAAGTTTCCAGCCTTTGAACCTGCACCCACAATGATATATATGGCTGATCCAGTTCAATTTCTGGTTAATGGTAATCCCAGGCTGTTGATGCAGTGGCATTCAGTGCTGGTAATACCATTGGCTGTCAGAGACTGTCATTAGATTCTCTCTTGCTGGGAATGGTCATTTCCTGGAACTTGGGGATGCAAATTTTACTGTCACTTATCAGCGCAAGACTGAAAGGTGTCCAAGTACTGCCACACGTAGACACCAACTACTTCAGTATTTGAGGGGTCACAATTGATAACAATCATTTCAATCATCAGAAAACATCCCCTTTTCTGATCTCATGATCATTGGTGAAGCAGCTGAAGATGGTTTAGCCTGGAGCACTACCTGGAGGAGCTCCTACAGTGATGTCCTTGGGATGAGATGATTGGTCTCCAGCAATCACAACTATTTTTCTTCATTTCTAGATATGACTCCAACCAGTGTAGACTTTTCCCTGATTTCCATTGACCTAAATTTTACTCATGCTCTTTGATGCCACTCTGTCACATGTTGTCTTAACGTCAGGGACAGTCACTCTTAAATGTACTTAAGTTTAAATGGATCCAACTGGAGATTTCCAAGCGTCACATTATATGTTTTGTGTCTTTACCTTTCAGAAAGATGATCCAGATGAATGTCCAATTGAACTCAGCAAGGTACAAAGTGTAAAGGTTATCACTAAAAAGCGGAGAGACCGTAGCCTTCCTCGAGCCTTTGAAATCTTCACAGACAACAAGACGTATGTCTTCAAAGCAAAGGATGAGAAGAATGCCGAGGAGTGGTTACAGTGTATCAATGTTGCAGTGGCTCAGGCAAAACAAAGAGAAAGCAGAGAGGCAACAACATACCTATGAACAGATCTGAGATAAATTGGACAGAGGATGAGCTGGCAACAAAATAACTATCAAGATGAATTACTACTTCAGCCTTGCAGGCATTTTTCGATGTAGAACATCTGAATCTTAAAGTGAGAGATAGCATTAGCATTAGCATGGGACAAAACCTGGAACTGTGTTCTGTGTAAGTAAACTGTAAAACCAGTGACATAGGATCTGTCCAATCAGCATTACCATTTGAAATGTCAAAGAAAAAGTCTGAAAAATGCTGTCATGATTTAAGTAAATAGAAAAACAGGAGTTAAAGCGCATGCCTTTACAAAGGTTTGACTTTTTGTGATTACTGAACACAAAATGTGCACACAACACTACAGAAACATAGAAACTAGGAGCAAGGGTAGACCATTTGGCCTTACAAGCCTCCTCCACCATTCAATATAACCATGGCTGATCATCTAACTCAGTACCCTGTTTCATTTTCTCCCCATACCTTTTGATGCCTTTAGTCCTAAGAACTATATCTAACTCCTTTTTGAAAATATTCAATGTTTTAACTTCAACCGCTTTCTGTGGTGACCCTCCCTTAGGACACTTCTGTGGAAGGGTCACCGGACCCGAAACATTAACTCTGATTTTTCTTCACAGATGTTGCCAGACCTGCTGAGCTTTTCCAGCAATTTCTGTTTTTATTCCTGATTTACAGCATCCGCAGTTCTTTCAGCTTTTATTTTGATAGTCCTAACTAATCCAGTCACTCTTCATTCATATGTCCTGCCATCCTAACAATCATTCTGGTAAACCTTTGTTGCACTCCCTGCCTAGCTAGAACATCCTTCCTCAGATAAACACACAAAATCACAATTCTCCAGGTTTCACCTCACCAAGGCTCTTTACAACTGCAACAAGACACCCCTGTTCATGCACTCAAATCCTCTTGCTGTGAAGGCAAACATACCATGTAATTTTTTCATCACCTGCGGAACCTAAATGCTTAATTTCAGTGACTGGTGTGCAAGGACACCCAGGTCTCGTTACACGTCTCTCCTTCCCAAATTATCGCCATTCAGAGAATAATCTGCTTCTTTATTTTTGCTACCAAAATGGGTAGATTCACGTTTATCCAAGTTATACTTCATCTGCTATGTATTTGTCCACTCAATGACCTCGGGTATGGATGGCTTCAAGTTCAACTCCAGTTAGGCTGGTCCAATACTCATAAAGACCATTGATGCTCACTCTGAATTTATACATGAGGAAGAAACCTCAGGTGATGGAAGGAAATGATGAATAATTGTAGAAGAATAGAAAATGGAAAAACATACAGAAAGTGCAGCTAGTTTAGTTTTCTTTTGTAACAAACAAAAACTTTCCTTGGCCCTTTGTGGATTTGTCAAATAAAATAAGACCTTTTTCTCAGATTTCTCTAATCCAGAATAAAATTTCACTTTGTAGAATAATAAATACCATGATTTTGTGTGATAAATTATAGATATGGTACTCGGTTTGTTTTGGCTCAATGAATTAGTGTGATAGTTCCCCAAACTTGCACAAGGTTCCTTTTACATTTCTGGAATTCATCTATGTTATATAACATAAACTAATCAATTTTTCACTGCAATACACACATGTGAATAGATTCATCTCAAAATGGATTACAGGTGACCTGACGAAATCCTTGGTTAACAAAGGTTGAAATGTGAAATGGCATGGCTAGTATCCAATGTCACAAGAGTTACTTTATTTGAAATAATCAGAGATCAGTGAAATTAAGTTCCAGAAAGAAATGGGCTATGAAGGAGGTATATGCTATATTAATCTTTTATGTGTTCTACCTTGATCTTATTCAATTTTGTTGTAGAAATTTATCATTAGCTGATAGGTACAGGAAGTTATGAACCTTGGATGACCAAGGATGACCAATAGGTGGGGATAGGGCCCAAAGAGAGAGAAGAGCAGTTGGATAGACAAAGGAGTTGATAACAATCTGGCTGGGAGGGTGAATGGTTGTTAATAGGGACTGTTAGTGACTAACAATAGGTAGTGTGTAATGGCAGACTACGTGATACCAAGGCTTGGTGTGTGGGGTGAGGGCTGGGACATGGGAGAGTTAAGGCCCTAAAATTATTGAACTTGATATTGAGGCTGGAGGGCTGCAGAGCCCCCAAGTGGAACATGAGGTGTTGTTCTTCCAGCTTGTGCTAAGCTTCGCTAGAACACAACAGCATGTCTGAAAAGGAGATGATAGCCTGGGAACAGGGTGGTGTGTTAAAATGGCAGGTGTTACACCTTCGGTGGTTGCAGGGGAAGGTGCCACGGGGCTGTGGGGAGGTTGTTGGGAGTGAAGGAAGAGTGGACCAGGGTGTCCCGGAGGAACGGTCTCTGCAGGAAACGGACAAGGGAGGGGAAGGGAATATGTATCTGGTGATGGCCTCACACTGGAGGTGGAGGAAATGGCGTCTGATGATCTTCTGAATGTGGATGCTGGTGGGATGGTAAGTAAGGACCAGGGGAATCCTATCGCTGTTGTGGGAGGGAATGGGGTGAGGGCGGAAGGGCGGGAGATGGGATCGGATCTGGTTGAGGGCCGTGTCAACAACGGTGCTCAGGAATCCTTGGTTGAGGAAGAAGGTGGACATTTCAGAGGCTGCCTCTCTCAGTTTTTATTAAGCAAGAAATTAGAAGGGTTAAAAGGGGCCAAGAAAAGTCATTAGCAAACAGGATTAAGGAGAATCCGAAGGCTTTCTATACATATGGTTGGCCCACTCAAGGTCAAAGGAGGGAATCTATGTGTGGAGCCAGAAGAGGTAGGTGAGGTTGTTTCATCACCATACTAGGTAACATCATCAGTCCACCTCTGATCAAATTCCAATAGGTAAGTGTGGTCTTAAATAAATACTTTTTGTATCGGTATTCACCAAAGAGAAGGAATTGGTGGAGGATGATCTCAGGGGAAGGTGTGTCAAATCTCTAAGCCAAGTTGCTATTAGAAAGGAAGAGATGTTGTGCATCTTAAAAAGTATTAAAATAGGTAAATCCCCAGGTCCTGATGGGATCTATCCCAGAATATTGAGGGAGGCAAGAGAATAAATTGCTGGAATAAAAACTGAAAGAACTGCGGATGCTGTAAATCAGGAACAAAAACAAAGTTGCTGGAGAAGCTCAGCAGGTCTGGCAGCATCTGTGAAGAGAAAAACAGAGTTAACGTTTCGGATCTGGTGACCCTTCCTCAGAACTGCAAATTGCTGGATTTCTTTGTATCCTCTTTGGCCACAGGTGAGGTCGCAGTGGACTGGAGAATAGGTAATGCTGTCCTATTGTTTAAGAAGGGTAGCACAGACGATCTAGGAAATTACAGGTCTTGACCTTCATGTTAGTGGTAGGAAAATTATTGAAAAAGATTCACAGGGACAAGATCTGTAAGCATTTAGAAGCAAATGGACTAATTAGTGATAAACAGCATGGTTTTGTGCAGGGGAGGTTGTGCCTTAATAACTTGATCGAGTTTTTTGAGGAGGTGATGAAGATGATTGATGAGGGAAAAGCCTTTGATGTGGTCTACATGGACTTTCATCAAGCCTTTGACAAGGTCCTTCTTGGCAGATTGGTACAAAAGGTGAAGTCGCATGGTATCGGAGTGAGCTGGCAAGATGGACACAGAACTAGCTTAGTCATAGGAGACAGAGGATAGAGGTGGGGGGATGCTTTTCAGAATAGAGGGCTGTGACTAGCGGTGTTCCACATGGATCAGTGCTGGGACCTCTGCTGTTCATGATCTACATAAATGAGGGGCGACCTGATAGAAGTTTATACGGTTGTGAATGGCATGGATAGAGTTGAAACTATGAGACTTTTTCCCAAGGTGGAGGGATCAATTACTAGGAGACAATGGTGCAAGGGGGGAAGTTTAAAAGACATGTGCAAGGCACATTTTTCGCACAAATGGTGGTGAATGTCTGGAATGCACTGCCAGAGGAGGTGATGAAAGCTGACACAATAGCAGGATTCAAGAAGCACCTGGAAGAATACATGAATAGGAAGGGAATAGAGGGATACAGATCCTGTAAGTGAAGACAGTTTTAATATGGAAGGGCAAAATGTGTTGGCGCAGGCTCAGAAGGCTGTATTGTTCTTTGTTCTTTAAAAATTCCACTTTCTTTATGAGACTTTCAAGCTTAGTACCTGCTAAATATTTCTATTTAACAACAACTACTGTTACAGTAACTATTCCTCAATTAGTTAGTTTGATCTTGAATGGCATAATTTTTACTACATCTGTGAATGTTGATTCAGAGAAAACAAAGGAAACTTATTGCATCTCAATGATATTGACCAAAAGTTTCCTTAGAGCTCCTCCTGGTCTCCCACAGTAGATTTATTCGACCTTCCTGATCCTCCACTGTAGATTTACCAGATGTTCTGGATTTTTCCCACTGCAGATTGACCAGATGTTCCTGAAACCCCACTGTAGATTTAGTAGATCTTCCTGATCCACCTGAAGAGCAGTGAATCTGCCTTTAATACATGTAAACAGGGTCCAGCTGCATATCTGAGCTCAGCTACAGCAACCCCAAGGAATTTCCCCAACAACTTCAGCTCAGTTTATTCGATGATCTACGATTCACAAATTTGTGAATTGATGACTCACTAAAGAGTTATTCAGATAATTTGTGTTGCCACTTGAGGACTGAAATATGATCTTCTACATAAGTTATTGAAATGAGGTCTGCTGCTCACATGGGTTCAAATTTGAAGAAGTCTGAATTCTGAAATATGACAATATTATATTCAAAAAGGGGAAGATGTCCAAGCAAATCTCATGATTCGTCCAATAATTTCTTGTTGGTAGCTTTTATTCCATGTAAGTTAGCCACAACAGATGTGATGCACTTCAAAATAGTACACTGGTTACAAAATGATTTGGGGCAATGTGAAGTTATGATAAAGTAATAGATAAGTTCTAACAAAAAGGGTTCCCTTCTTTAAATAATAGAATTTGAAATGGGCTTCTCAATGGCTTATAATACACAATCTAAGGAGAGAAGAGCATGGTTGTGTATAGTTCACATATGCTTTTCTACAAGTAATATTGCAATTATGTTTCTGTCAAGAGAGTTGATGTGATGCCATAGTTGCAGTCAATGTTAGTCTTGATATGCTGAAACAGGTTTCTTCTTTCTAGTTCCTGATAGTTTTCCAGTATTCTCTTAGCTAAAGCAAAACAAAATCTTTAAGAATGAAGGAGAGGTCAACAGCCAAAGTTAGGATATAAATTTGTACTTTGGTGTCTGATTCAATTTTATTAAATAGCATACATAACACTGATATTTCCCAGGAACTCAATACCCTCTCAAACTGCTAACAATATTTATTTAAAAATATTTCAGCTTAAACCATAAGAAGCTGAACATCACCTGATATAAAACTACTGGGACATCTTGAGTAATTTTATTACTTTATTATTGT